GACTAGATGGACCTTTAGAGTTCACAGTAGTTAAAAACAATACCTTCTACGTAAGCTGTACCTTGGATTTTTGAATTTGGTTCTTTTCCCAAGGCTAGTGGCCATCTGATATTCTCCTGTGATGCTGGGCAGAGAGAGGGGACCGTGGTGCTCAGTCTTTTGTTACCCACAATAACGGGTGAGATTGTGATGGAGTGAATACTGCCACTCCACAGTGCATTGGAGTGCTAAGCTGCGGTGTGTGACAAATGTCGTAAGCTAAGTATATTTTCAATGTATGATGTCATCAGTTTATGATGGGCTTATTGAGATGGAGTTTCTATGTTTTAAGTCCCAAGGTGGTCAAGGTTTTTTGTTTGGGACATAAAAAAAATGAAAAGATTTTTTTTTTTTTTGTTTGGAGGGGAGATACAGGAGGAAGAAGCAAGGACTAGTTTAATTGCAGTCATACTGACTGGGATTTTATTTTCTAATTTCATACCACATTTACATTCTACTTTCCAAAGCAGGCAAGATGACCATCCCCTCCCCCCCCCCCCCCCCCCCCCCCCCGCCCATTTTGTGAATGGTGTAAGGATAATTTGCTAAGGACACAGAAAACAGAGCTTGTATGTAAAAAAGGTAGTATAGGGTGACTTTATTCTGACTCCCAAAGCTCATGCTATTTTCTCACTATTCCTACACTTCAATGTGACGAATGGTAACCATACACATGTAATATATGGTATTTTTTATCTGGAACTACAGAATGGGATTCCTCCTACTTACTGAGTAAGCTGTCACTGTGAAGAACATTTGGTTTGAGTTTTGAAGGATAAACAGGAGCTGGTTTAAGATGAATTGCAGACAGCAATTGCAGAGGGAGTGATGTGTGCAAGACACAGGGTGAAGAAGAAGAAACAAACTATTTCAGGAGTACACATATACCTTTAGCTCATTGTGCCAATACTGATTAAAGTATGAGCTGGTAAAAAACATTCGCTATCACATTTCTCTAAAGGATATAATTTCTTTCCTTTCCTTTTTTCATTCTCCCTCCCTCCCTCCCTCCCTCCCTCCCTCCCTCCCTCCCTCCCTCCCTCCCTCCCTGCCTCCCTTCCTCCCTTTCTCCCTCCCTCCCTCCTTTCCTTCCTTCCTTCCTTCTTTCTTTCCTTCCTTCCATTCTTCCTTCTTTCTTCCTTCCTTCCTGTACTGGGGCTTGAAATCAGGGTCTGGGTGCTGTCCTTCAGCTTTTTTTTGCTCAAGGCTGGAGCTCTACCACTTGAACCACAGCTTCACTCCTGACTTTTTGGGGGCTAACTGGAAATAGTCTCACAGACTTTCCTGCCCAGCTGGCTTCAAACCTCAGACCTCAGATATCAGCCTTCTGAGTAGCTAGAATAATAGGTGTAACCTACCAGTCTCCAGCCTTATATTTTAATTATATGTTCTCTGGACCTCCAATCTGGTCTCCTCATTCCATGTGTTGGAATCTTCATTCCTTGTGTAGGATCTTTTTTTGAGATCAGATGATGGCATTTCCAGGAGTGAATGGTTTGGTTGGCTTTGACTGTGGTCAGCTTTGACGAAGTCAGTGGAAGGGATTTCCTCCAAGTGCATTGTTATCCATGATATTTTGCTCCTCACTTGTGATAGGGAAGAGAGAGTCAGTTTCAGCACAGCTGGTGGCAATTTTGCTCTGAATTCAGAGGCTGTGGAGCAAACTGGCAATTTCATGCTCTAGCCATGGTGGCAGCCAAGCGAGCTTTAGTAACTTACATGGTATGTCCACAACCTGCTTCCCGTGAAATTGCCTATAAGTGGGGACAACCTGGGAAGTCGCAGCTGAAGGCTGCCTAGACTTCATGACAACCCTGGTTCTAGTACTTAGTATGCAGCGCTCTCTCGCTCTCTCATGTCTAGGATTTGCTTAGTTTGCTCTGCATCTTCTTCTGCCCTACAATGTGTGATCTGCCACCAGTGGTTGGTAGATGTTCTGCCATTGATTATTTCTAGAAACCCTGGTTGGTGGTAGAGCATTTGCCTAGTAACATGGGCTGGGGTGGGGGGGGTGCGGGGGGGTGGGGAGGGAAGATTCTATAATTCCATTACTCCTTGGAAAGGGTCAGTTAGGCTCCTAACAAAACAAGCCTACCACCTTAGTCTAGAAGTGAACTGAGGCATGTATACCTTTGGTGACATGTCTGCACATCTAAAACTTTAAGCAAATCCATCTGGTGTTGTTGATATGTGCCCACTGAGAGAATGAGCACTTCGGAGACCTTGGGGAGCAACTTTTAGTTCAGAATCTTCCTTTAGTAATAAAGAAGAGCTGTGATTCTGAGCAAAACACAATATATGGATGTAGATTTGAAGTATCACCAATGAAACAAATAGAACTTTTCCCTAAAAATGTAAACATTATTGGTGAAATGAAGAGGTCAGCCTCAATAATCACTAAGAACCCATTGGTTCTAAAAGGTTCTGATTTCTGTTGTTCTACCTAGTGACTCTCATTCAGTCAGTCAGACTCTCAGTCTCTCATTGTCATTGTGAAGATTTTTATAGGGTCCCACATCCCATTCCTTGCTTTCTCTCTGTGCCACTCACACAAATCCCACTTTGGCTTTTTCTCAAGCGGACATTGTCCCCATGTGTATCATCATCTATGTGCATATGAAATGCTTTGGGACCCGCTCCAAGGTCTTCATGGCACATTGTAACTTCACCATCAAACACAATACCCACAAAGGCTTAATGGTCGTGGATCTGAGGGGTTGGGTGTGGATACAGCAGATTCCAGGCCTTGCCTCTGTGAGAGTTAAACCATTGCAGAGAATGTGCAACCCCCCCAATCTTCTCTAGTAAAAGCAATATTAACTGCATTCGAAACATGGTGGCCAACAGTTAATGTCCTGGATCCACTCCCCCTCTTGGCTTGTGAGGCGAGAGAGGCCAGTCAGGTGGCCCAGAGGCATTGCTGGAAGGAACCATTGCTCCCTGTATTTGGGAATGAAGGGCCATAAATGATGGCCGCTTTCCAGTGTGCCAGTAAATAAGTAAATAGAGTGTTGACACTGGTCTCTCTGCCAAACACCAGTCTGCTCTAACTTCATCTTGGAGGAGATGAAAGCGAGTAGGGTTATTGCCTAGGTTTTTGAAAAGTAGGCTTACGTCGACTTGGAAATCTCTCCTTTTGGAACCCTTTCAGTCAGCTTTCTGGCCCTCACTGGTGAGTGAGACAATTCTGTCAGACATGAGACTGTGTGTGTGTGTGAGCTTATTCATTATAATTATCAGCAATAGGCTGAAACAGAGCCATTTCTAAAGACGAACTGTTGTCAACAGATACTTCAGCTCTCGTTTGGAATGATGGTTCAACTCCTGGAAGAGTGGGTGTTTAGCATGCATCCAATACCAAGACAGTTTAAGATGCTGGCCAGGCATCCACCATTTTGGGGATAGTCAGATTTGGGGACCAATATTCTCAGTCCATAGATTTGCAAGGTTATATTATTCATGCCTCCTGAATTAGAGAATTATGTTCATTGACCAGGCTTGAAGTCAGACAATATGACAGCCATCTTTCTTGTTTACTTTTTCATATCTGTATCTTAGCATGTGCCTGTTACCTCTGAGCACTTCACACAAGTTTGTGGGATGAAGAAAATGAATGAATGAACTGGGAAGTCCCTGGCTTCCTTCTTTCTGCTGTCATTCCCAACCTCAGGGTCTTTCTAGAAGCCTTCAGTTTAAGATCAGACTTGCTACTATTCAGGTCCAGCTCCCCCCCATCCCCCCACCCCCACGTACACACAGCATTGAGGAGGACACACCACAACACTGTGGCCCAAGCTGCATGGATTCTTTTCTTTGTTCCTTTCCACGTTCACTCCCCCAACCTTTCAAAATTATTTCACTGCTTTCCTGTTCTTTTCTCTGGGGAAAGAAAACCCACAAAACTTCAAGATCGTCCCATACAAACAACTCTAAGAAACTCTGAGAAACTGAAGACAGAGAAGGCAAAGAGCTAGAGCCCAGAGCACAATGACCCCACTTTGCTTGAGATCCAATGTGATAGCTGGTTTAGGGCAGAGGCACCAAGACTTAAAGGGCCAGGCACACTTCAATTTTCTACTTTTTGTTGTTGTTGCCATTGTTGTGATGGTACGGAGGCTTAAATCCAGGTCTTGGGCACTGTACCATAGCTTTTATGCTCCAGGCTAGCACTCTACCACTTGAACCTCTCCTCTACTTCCAGCTATTTGGCAATTAATTGGACATATGAATCTCACAGACTTTCTTCCCTGAGCTGACTTTGAACTGCAGATCTTACTCAGATCTATGCCTCCTGAGTAGCTAGGATTACAGGTATGAGCCATCATTGCACAGGGCCCCCTGTTGTTTTTAACAGCTGAATGAAAAAGAATTAACTTTTTGAGTTGATGTCTCCTCTGGTTTGGTTCCTGTTTTTCTTCAAAGTGTGATGTATTGAATTTACTGATATATCTGCCATCATTAAAAGAGTTTGAAATAGACATTTTAAAAAAGGGTGATGTATTATCTATTAAAGCATTGAAAAGGGCATATTAGCAAATGCACACACTTTGAGTGTTACCAGTTTGGGATAGTTTAGAAAACCAGAATTTTCTCACAGTATTTGACTCTCAGGATTGCATGGTTGTAGACAATGCATGCAGTTCTCAAACAAGCCATGTTCCTGCTACTAGTTTCAAGATTAGACTTCCAGGTGAGAAGAGAAATTCTGTTTATTTTTTTTTTAACTCTCATATTTTCAGATCTTGGGTTCCAAAAGAAACAAGAATGAGTGCTTTAGAAGTTTTCATGGACAGCCTTCAATTTGGGGCCGTTATGATGTAATGGACAGCTTATGCTGGCTGGTCTACAGAGAGACACAAGCCTGCAGGATTGTTTTGTCTTAGGGTTCTTAATATACTTTTGTTATTTATATTTTTAATTGTGTGAAAGTACCCAAAGGCTCAGTGGCAACAGAAGACAGTCGTAAAAACTGAATAAATAAATAAATTAGAAATTAAAAAAAAATCCGAGTTAGTGATGTCTGACTTCCTCTATTCATGCTATTGCTACTCTTGTTGCTTTTTGGTTTTTGTTTTGCTTCTTGACTGTTGTTGTTTTCCAGGAAAGCTGTCATTTATCGTGAGAACAAGAGCAGCCATGTGTTGATTTTTCTGGATTCTTTTTGGATACTCTCCCAGTGCTAATGAAGGCCCTTCCAAAGTGCTAACAAGCTGGTGCCAGAATCAGTGTTGCTGAAAACAATAGAAGAGAGTGGTATGCAGACATCATGTGTACGTAAACCCATATACGCTCACATCCATATTTGATTTAATAAGCGCATGTGCAACTCCGTTTGTGCAAATGCATGCACCTCTTAGTACAAACATAACAAATGTGTGTGCTGGAGGTACACAGAGGGAAAAGTGAGGGAGGCCTTGTACAAAATTGCTACAAGGAAATTATATTTGATCAAAATATGAGCAGATTTTAGATTTCTCAGTGTTCCAATTTGTCAGCTATTGAAAATGTACATTTCTCCATTGAAAAAAATAGATTCCCCATATATATATCCATAGTACTTATTTGTTTTATTAAGACATGGGACTTCTGGAAGTGGAGCTTGTGATCTCAAGTGCTAGATCACCAGCTACAGCATCCAGACCCTGAGTTAAAGCCTGAAAAGAAAAAAGGAAAGAAAGAGGCCTTCTACCCAAAAATGCACCTGGAAAGTGCTTAGCTTAGGCTAGGCTGCGGGGTTGATTTTAATAAAGTCTCTACAATGATGAGTACTTGGGGGGGGGGGGTTATTTGCTGAAAGGGAGGATATTTTGAACTTAGGCTCTCTCTGGCCTCCATAGAGTCTCCCTGCCTTCCCTCCTCCCAGGGTGTAATTATTCTCTCCTCCATTTGTTTACACAGCTTGTAGATGCAGACCGGGTCCTCTGGCGACAATGCCACTGACTACAGTCACTCTGCTATTAGAAGCTCCTACACCTAAATGCCGGGCCATGCATCATTAAGTAGCACAGTTATTCAAATTTAGTAAATTAAATTAAATAAACTCAAATGACTTGGTTTCAGGGATTAAAAATTTCATCGTATGGTGCCCGTAGTCAATTTCTTTTATTATTATTGTTCATCAAGTAGAATTTATGTTTTTTATGAATCAAAACCCTTGCTTGTCTTTAAGCCTCACAGCCGCTCACGGCTTCCTGGGCTGAGTCGGTAGCTTCGTGCGCCATCTACCGGCGGCTGTTGGTACCGCGGCCTCCCGCTGGCCTTGGGCCTCCGAATTGGCCAGGGGTGGAGGTGGAGGAGGGTAGAAGCGGGGGATAGGCGGGGAGAGCCTGGAGGGCCGGCTTGCACAATCCCTGCAGAAACCGTGGACAGAACGGTGCGTTTCTCTGACCGATCCCGTGGGCTTTGTCATTGTGGGTCACCTTGAGGTCTCCGGGACAATCAGAGAAACTGGCTATTGAGGCCGGGGCACTGCGGTCTGTTCTCGCACGTTTAGTTGTGTTCTGCGGCCATTTTTGGCCTTTTAAAGCCTCCATGAGCTGCACGGCTGTGTGTACGACAGACATACCTGAGAGGCCGAGCCTTCCCTGGCCTCCACCCAGAGCCTTCCTCTGGCCCTCACATTAGTTCCGAGGAGACATCTGATGCTTAGAGGCAGTGGCTGCAGTTGCCAAAGGTCCCCAGATAAAGACGAAGATCAATTTTACCACGTTACCTTTTTAATTTTTTTTAATTTCCCTAAACAGAAGCAGAAAATCCAAGTGCTTTGGGAGCCAAGGAAGCCACCCCATTGTTTTAAAGACAGGCTTAACTTTGTTTCAGTTTATTTATAGTTTAACAAATAAACAGTCACCAAACAATGATAATACAAGTCGAGTGAGAGAAATCACATGAGATTTGTTTTTGCTTTTTTATTGTTTTTATTAAGTAGTTGTACAAAGGGGTTATAATTCCATAAGTCAGGTGAAGACTAAAACGTTTCTTGGCCAATGTCACCTTTCGATTTCTCACCCATTTCCCCCTTCCTGTCCCTAGCCTCAAGGTGCACACACAGTTCACTTTTTACATAGTGTACATTCACTGTCATGATTGTGTTTGGTCACCCTTCCTCCTTTCCTTCCTTCCCCCAATTTTCTTGTTTTAAACAGGTTTAAGGAGAGAAATCCCTTCTAAATAGCATGTGTGTGTGTGTGTGGGGGGGGGGGGGGTGCACGCACACTCACACTTAAAACCCAAATCCTCAGTTCTCAGCCTCCAAAATAGCTAGGATTATAGGTGTGAGCCACTGGCCCCTGATTGAGAATATTTCTTGATTTAAACTTGTTGAACATCTTTGTTTAATGTGTCTTACATCAAGTAAAGCTACACAAATGTGCCAATTATGTATTTCCTCACATCTAAACCATAATAACCTCAGCCCCCCCCCCCCCCAAAAGGCATCCAGGAAGTCTTTCTATTTCAGCTTCTATTAAGAGGGTGAAGGGTAGGTATGTGTGTCTGAAGGCCAGCTCCTTTGCCCAGTCAAATGTCAACATAGCAACAAACAGATGGTGTCTCAGGCTTTTTGCTGAGTTTATTTAAGATGGTGTATTTTGTGCTTTTTCAGGAGGACTGTGACAATAAGTCTCCTCTGTCATTAATAAGTACAAAAAAAGACCATGTAACCCTCTTAAAATTTTTACTTCACTGGGTCTCCTGGTTCTGTTCATGTGTTTTTCTCATCTTCAAAAGGAAGGTTCCTTTCCACTCCTTACAAGGAAATTGTTCCTCCCACCGTGGGCCAGCACTCTCTAAGTGTTTTCTTTAGTATCTACACAGAAAAGACATGTAAGGATGAATTGTCAGGTTGGAAGGAAAAGACATAATTTATAGTCCCTTTGCTCATAGTAGAAGGGTACAAGTCCTGGAGATTTTTAAAACCATTTTATCTTTCAAGTCAAACCCAGGTAGCAAAGGGTAAACAAAGTAAAACATTGAAGAAAAGTCAGTTAGGATTGAAGTTGTAGATCTAGAGAAAGCCCACTCATCTAGCACTCATAATATCCTAAAAGAGATTGAATGGTGAGTGCTGGGGGTGGGGGGTGGTAGTGTGCCTCACTACTGATCTAATGTGTGTATGTGCATGTGTGTGTGTGCTGGTCCCCAGTTCTGGGCTTAATTAAACTCAGGACCTGGATGCTGTCCCTGAGGTTTTCTGCTCAGGGCTAGCACTCTACTACTTGTGTCACAGCTCCACTTTGTTTTTTTGGCATTTAAAGTGAGATAAGAGTTTGCATGGACTTTGAATCTTGATCCTCACATCTCAGCCTCTTGAGTAGCTAGGATTATAGGCATGAGCAACTGGCACCCAGCTGGCATTATTATCCTTACATTAAGTGAAGAAAATTTCATCCTTAAAGATCTTTCTAAGAGCCTTCCTCCTTGCTGTTCAGTGGTGTGAGGAGAAGCCAGACTCTGGCTAGGTTGTTAAAGTTCAAGGTAGAGTTGTCTTTCCTTCATCTGTTAACATACGTCTATTTCTTCTAAAATCCTTGTCCTGCTGGGAGGCAGTGGCTCACATTTGCAATCATAGATACTCAGGTAGCTAAGATCTGAAGATTGCAGTTCATATCCAGCCTAGCCAGGAAATTTCCTCAGATTTTTATTTCCAAGAAACCAGCCATATAAAAAAGCTAGACATGAAGGTATAGTTCTAGTGATAGAGTGCTAGCTTTGAGTTAAAAAAGCAAAGGTACAGGCTCAGGCCCTGAATTCAAGCCCAAACAAGCAGTATAAAGAACCTCTGGTTCTAGAATGTCTGGCCATGGATCAGCTTTTGTGTCAGACTTGTCACGGTGTGGATGGTCTTGCATTGCATTAAGTCCTAGTTTTCCAGTCAGTCAATGTGCTCTTTTTGAGGCTGCTTCCTGGAGTTGCCCATCTCCTCCTGCTCTGCCGTATGAGTGCCATCTAAAATCTCATGAAGTCATTCATTTGTTTTCCCTTGATGATGTTGAAAAGAGTTAGCTAAGAAACAAACGTGAATGAACTCCTTCAGATTGTCTTAAAATTAATTTTTTTTATGAAGAAAACCAGGAACAAAGTGATTATGTGCTTCCTGAAACCAAAATGCCTACAAGAAAGTGTTACAGGCAATGGTATCCTCTTTCCCACTGCCTGTGTTGAGTTCCTAACCCATAGTTCCTTGGAAGGAGACTTTATTTAGAGACAAATGTCTTGGTAGAGGTAGTGAAGTTGAAATGAAATTATTAAGGTAGCCTCTAATTCAATATGACTGGTGTTCCTATAAAGAAGAGGAGATGTATACACAGGTATGTGAAGAAAGAGGAATACATGAAGACATGGGAATATGGCCATCTATGAGCCAGGGACAGAGGTGTGGACCTGTCCTTCCCTTAAAGTTCTTGAAATGAATCAACCTTGAAAACATCTTGGCTTTGGACTTTCTGCTTTCAGAATGGAGACAATAAATTTCTGCTATGTAAACTAGTCCAGTCTGTGATTATCTATCTATCTATCTATCTATCTATCTATCTATCTATCTATCTATCTATCTATCTATCTATCTATCTATCTATCTATCTATCTAGCTAGCTAGCTAGCTAGCTAGCTAGCTAGCTCAAGGCCAGTGCTGGCCCTTGAACTCAGTCCCTTAGCTTATGTGCTCAAAGCTGTTTGTCTACCACTTGAACTGCAGTTCTACTTCTGGATTTTTGGTGGGTCATTGAAGCTAAGAGTCTCATTGACCTTCCTGTCCAGGCTGGCTTTGAACCCTGATCCTTAGATTTCAGCCTCCTGAGTAGCGAGGATTACAGGCATGAGCCACTGGTGTCTGTCTGTGATAACTTTTTAAATGGCAACTCTAGCAGACTAATATACTGAGAAAGTAGATTCAAATAGGTGTACATTTTGGTGTTTCTGAATAATTTTTGTTATTACCTAGACTGAGGTAAGAACTATTGAGGTCCTCAGTAGTCCCAGCCTGCACGGCCTACCAGACCTGCCAAATTCTCCAAAGTCTTTGGAGCACAATTGCTGCATATAACTGTGGTTATTAGTGAAAATAAATATCTCCCACTTAGCTTCATATATCTGAATATACAAAGCCCTTTTGTGCTAACAAACTGCAACTTCAGGACCACAGAGCTTTGTAGGACTGTGACAGACCGTTAGTACAATTTGAACAGAATTATACCCTGTAGTCTTGCAAGCTTAATCCTTGTGGTATTGAAGCACCTGTCTGTGCCGTCCAGATGGAGGCTCAGGTGAGAGCTTTGTGCCTGTGCACTTGAAAGGTGAGGCCTCATCCATAAATGCTCTTTAAAGGCTTGCTTGATTAGCCTTTTAAACAATGCAGCTGTTTCCCCCCAGGGAACTCTGGGTCAAATGCTAATTCTTTGCTGGAAGCCCTGGACTTTGGGTTCATCTTGTGGTGTGTGCTGTATCCTCCCAAAAGCTGAACTTGCTTGGTATCTGAAGAACACAAGGAGAGCAGTTAATGGTAGATTTGGTTTAGGATAAACACAGACACACTTTTTTCATTGTGTCTATTTGTTTGTTTGTTTTCACTCTAGCTTATTAAGTGAGCAATTCAAAGTCCAATCATGAGAATTCAGTCTTATTTGGAAAAGGACGATTGAGAGTTTTAATTTTCTTTAGTGTTGATAAATCTCAGGAAGAATCTCAAAATGGGCAGCAAAGCAGTAGAGAAGCAAAGAAAAACTATATATAGAATTTTTTTCAAAAAGAATATCCTCTCAGATACTGAATGATTACAAATGGATATAGGTCATGGTGACATCCTTAAGTAAGTCTTTAGGAACATACAATCTGTGTCAAGATTTCCTCTGATTGTCTTCATTTCATGCTCATCCCAATAGGGCAAAGAATGTATAAAATAAATGTGCATGGTGGAGCATGTACTTCACATTCTCAGCCATGAGAGTGAGCCCCAAAGAAGGTCATAGAAGCTCTACTGTCTTTCTGATAAAAGCCAACAAGAATGTACTTCCCTTTATGTGAATATTATTATTTTATTTTGTGCACAAGTACTGGGGTTTGAACTCAAGGCCTTGTAT